ATCCGGAGGCGGCTCCAGTTTACGTTGAACCTGTCGCAACACAACACCGTATTCCCTGTCCTTCCCTGTTTCTGACCGCAATCAAGAAGCAGTGGTCCTCTCCGGCATCACTTCGCTTACCAGGTAACACAGATAAGAAACTGTATAATGTTGCCAAGGAGCTGGAGGAAGCATTGGAAATTCCGGAGGTGGACGAACCCTTAGGGCCCCTAGTATCGGCCACGGCCATATCCGGTGAGTTTTCAGAGGCCCTTAAGGCCGAGGATCGCAAGTGCGAGTCCACCTACAAGAGAACGCACCAGGCGGCTGCCTGGGTGATCAGGACCGCAACTTTGGCCTCTTTCTTCACCAGGGCCGCCCTCACCTGGCTTCGGGAGCTCCAAGCCCGAGTTCCTGCGGAGGATGTCCGCACGCACTTGGATCTTAGCAAAATGGTGGCAGCCACGGAATATGCGTTGGACGCATCCTTACAGGCCGCTAGGTTTTCTTCCAGGGCGATGGCGTCCAACATCACTGGAAGACGTATGCTCTGGTTGAAAAATTGGCAAGCAGATGCCAAATCCAAGTGGAAATTGGCAGCGGCTCCCTACCAGGGTTCTAAGTTATTTGGGGATTCACTGAATCCCTACTTAACAGAGAACAAGGACAAACATAAGGTCCTTAAAGACCTACTCAAACGTCCAAACAAGAGGACGGGGTTTTTTCAACGCAAGCAGTCCTTTCGGGGGGGTCCAAGGTACTCCTATTCCCAGCCCTTTCGTGCCTTCCCGCCAAGGCAGGACAGGCAAGATAGGCAGCCTGACAGACAGAATCCCGGTCCCAGACAACAAGCCCAGGGGAAACGGCCCTTTCGGGGGAACAATAGACCTTTCCGCCGTTCCAGGTGACTCTTCGACAGCACCTCCCATAGGGGGCAGACTGTCTCTGTTCGCCCACCGTTGGGAGACTACCACCACGGATACGTGGGTCATCAACACGATCCGACACGGTCTAAATTTGGAATTTATATCTTACCCCCCAAATCGGTTCCTCTCCTGTCCATATCCCAGAAACCGCACAAAACTAAGGCTGATGGACGAAGCTATCCATCATCTGCTTCACATCAGGGCCATAGAACCCATACCGATGGATCAGAGAGGTCTAGGATTCTACTCCATCCTCTTCGTTGTACCAAAAGCGTCAGGGGGATGGAGGGCTATTCTAGATCTAAAGGACTTGAATTTTCATATAGCTTACCACAAATTCAAGATGCAAACGCTCCATTCCATCTTGGGAAGCATCAGAAAAGGGGACCTCCTGACGTCTATCGACCTCACGGAGGCGTACCTTCATATCCCTATCTCTCTGATCCATCGACGGTTTCTACGGTTTACGTACAAGGGGAATCACTTCCAGTACAGGGCGCTCCCCTTTGGCCTCTCATCTGCTCCGAGAGTATTCACCAAAGTCTTGGCGGTCCTGGCAGCACATTTACGATTGATACCAGTAAGAGTCCACTGTTATCTGGACGACATTTTGATTCAGTCTTCGTCCGTCCAGACAGCATTGACGGACCTCAAAATGGTGATAAAATTGCTCCAGGACCACGGATTTTCGGTGAACTTTCCAAAGAGCCACTTGAACCCCACAACGAGGCTCTTACACCTGGGGGCAGTCATAGACACCTTGGAATGCCGGATATATCTCTCTCAAGATCGCAGGGACGGCATACGGGAGTCGATTCTTCGACTTCGCAGCAGTCGGTCGGCGACGTTGGTCAGTCTCTCCCAGTTGTTAGGGAAGATGATTTCTGCCATAGCCATAGTACCTTGGTCAAGGCTCCACACCAGAGAACTACAAAGGTTCATGCTTCCCTTTCAGAGGCGGAACCTCAGTGCTTCGCTCAACAGATTGGTTCTCCCTCACCACGTGCTACGTTCCCTCAGTTGGTGGCTGTCAACAGCCGTCCTCAGAGGGTTGTGTTTCAAGGAGCCGGACAGGATTGTCCTCACGACCGACGCCAGCCTGTTCGGTTGGGGGGCTCACATTCAGTCTCACTGGGTACAGGGCCGTTGGTCCGCATCAGATCTACGACACAATATAAATTGGCTAGAGTTGAGGGCCATCCATCTAGCGCTCCGACATTTTCGCCACCTAGTATCACGGCGACAGGTCCTGGTCCTCACGGACAATGTGGCAGCCAAGGCACATATAAATTGCCAACGGGGAACTCGATCTCGGAGCCTGATGTCCGAAGCTCTTTCGTTGGGTCTCTGGGCGGAACGCAATCTGGCATCTATCATGGCAGACCATATTTCGGGGGTAGCAAACACACAGGCCGATCTTCTGAGCAGATCGACGATAGATCACGCGGAGTGGAGACTCCACCCGAGGATCTTCCAAGAGATTTGCCTCCGTTTCGGCCTTCCTCTAGTGGACCTCTTCGCGTCCCAGTGCAATGCCCATCTTCAACATTTTTTCTCCCGTTTTCCGACGGCGGGAGTGGAACAGACGGATGCCCTTTGGAGTCCTTGGCCACAGGGCTTGCTTTACGCATTTCCCCCTCTGCCAATTCTACCAGCAGTAATCCGCAAGATTCTTCAGGAGCGAGCGGAGGTTCTCCTGGTGGCACCCTTTTGGCCACGGAGACCTTGGTTCGCAGATCTGGTGAATCTTTCAATCAGCGATCCTTGGCGGATTCCGTTGGATCAGGTCTCCCTGAGCCAAGGTCCCATTCTGCATCCCGAACCCCAGTGGCTCCAGTTAGCCGTCTGGCACTTGAGCGCTCGATCTTAACTGGAGAAAGCTGCTCACAAGGGGTTATAAATGTTATTCAGGCATCGCGCCGTCCGTCCACGAACCGCATTTATGAGGCCACGTGGAAAAATTTCCAATCATGGTGTTCCGGGCGGAAGTTGTCACTTTCGGCACTTACTGTGCCAATTGTCTTGGATTATTTATTGGAAGGTCTGGAAAAAGGTTTAGCCCCTAATACCCTTCGCAGGCAAGTCGCTGCTTTGTCTACAATCCTCTCATGCAACTCTGCTGAATCACTGGGTCATCACCCCTTGGTAAGGTCGTTCCTTAAGGGAGCCTCCAACCAAAATCCTCCTGTGGTACACAGATACCCCTCGTGGGAGTTGTCAAGGGTGCTTCGGGCTATTACTAAATCTCCTTTTGAGCCCCTCAGGACATGTGACATTCGTTCCCTGTCCCATAAAGTGGCCTTCCTGGTGGCTATCACCTCTGCTCGTCGCATTTTGGAGCTGGCGGCACTTTCAGTGAGAGATGACTTATGTGTTTTCCAACAGGATAGGGTTATCCTTCGGTTAGACCCTACCTTCGTTCCGAAGGTCAATTCCCTATTCCATAGGTCACAGGAGATAGTACTGCCTGACTTCTGCCCCAACCCGTCGCATGGGTTGGAGCGACAATGGCATTGTCTGGATGTCCGCAGAGCCCTTAAATATTATATTTCACGGACTGCGGAGTTCCGGAAATCGGAAGCCCTCTTTGTATCGTTCCACGCATCTGCCAAGGGTCGGAAAGTGTCCTCTTCCACTGTTGGGAGATGGATAAAGGCATGCATCGCCGGGGCTTACAAAGCTGAGTCGTTGCCGGTTCCGCGGGGTGTGACCGCCCACTTCACACGGAGCGCGGCTACTTCGGCGGCATGGGCCACTCAAGCTTCCATCGAGGAAGTCTGCAAGGCAGCCACTTGGGCTTCGCCTTCTCCTTTCATTAGGCACTATAAAATTGATAAGTTTGCCTCTGCTGAGGCTTCATTCGGTAGGAGAGTTCTCCAACAGGTTTTACTCCAAAGTGCCACTCAGGACCAGTCTACTACCCACCCTCAGNGGTGGAGTCTCCATCTCAGTGCTGGAGAAGGGGCGTTGTCTTACCTGAACGCCTTTTCTCAGCACGGAGATGGAGACTCCACCTCCCTCCCTTGTACATTTTGTATAAGCATAGGGCCAGTTAGTTTGGTGAGCCACAACGTCTTGCTGTCAGTCAATGGCTACGCTCGCGTCAAAGACTGGAGATCAACGGTCCAGGATGGGCGTGGCAACTTTGGCTGACTTGATCTGATTGGGCAGGAATACAGTCTACTACCCAATGGTGGAGTCTCCATCTCCATGCTGAGAAAAGGCGTTCAGGTAAGACAACGCCCCTTTTGTTGCCCAGGTCCAGAATGGACTTCCAGAAGCGGCATCCACACAGAGAACTAGTTGTTTACATATTTGAATCCCACCACTGCACCTTTTGTTCTGCTTTTCCTCCAGGACTTCCTATACACATTCCTTTCTTCAATTTTACCCCACAACAATACCTTTTATGGTTAGTTACAAAGAGTATATCTCACCCAAAGATACAGAGTTGCTATTTTATTGTTACCATGTTTTTTTATGACTTGTGACTTTACACTTATTGCAGTCCTGCTTTTCCTTGTGTTGGGAATAAGGTCTTCTAGAATATTAGCAATGTATTTCCAAAATCTACCTACGAAGTGGAACTAGAGATGAGTAGAAAGATTCCCTAGAGAAAAGATGTTCTACGGAAATGGTAAAATAAAATATAAATTGCAAAGTAAATTACTGAAAATTTATTCTGTAGAAGGTGGATAAAGAAGAAACAGAAAATTCAGAATAGCTATGTGATGAAGCTTCAATGGTTAGGGTAATGAAGAATGACTTAGTTGAAATAGTTGTATATTTACCTATAAACTATCCAGTATGAAAGAGAAGAAAGGCAAGGATTCATTAGATTAAAAGAAAATATAGATAGTAAACATTTCTTAGCCAATGCTTCACTTGGCAATTATTTACCAGATCAGAAAGCTAATAGACCTAGCATAAATGAAATGTAAGGCTCTTGTTGCCAAGACTATTTGAATTGCTCATTGTTAGTGGGGAAGAGTTGGTAAAATATTCCATGTATATAGCATCTTGTCACTTTAATGATGGAATCTATAAACTTCAGAGATCAAAAACAAGTTGCTACATAATATATTTTTCTTCTAGGTAAGGGAACGACTAAGGGTTTCCTTAGAAAGAGTCTCAGCGCTTGAAGAGGAACTAGCAGCTACTAATCAGGAGGTAAAAACATTTTTTGTGTTAATTCTAAATGAGATCAAACATTTTTTTTTAAAAAAAATAATTTTCTGGAAATATAAATGTAATTTATAACGAATACATTAATTTATAGAAATACTTGTTTTATTGAGGTCATCTAATTACAAGCAACTGTGCTATGGTATGTACTTTCTATTGGGTGTGGTCTGAGTAACAGGATATTGACTTAGAAAACTGAATGTTGACTTGAAAGTTTAAAGATTCTAGAGCAATGTAAGCATCACTGTAGCAAAATTTGGTTTTGAATGTGGTTATGGTATACAAGCTACATGTGCCAGAACAGATGATTGCTGCCCTCATCGTTAGCAAGGAATGCTGCATGATTCCTATTAAGCAATGCCATAATGAGCATTGATGCCAATATTTTTAGACTTACCCATTGATTATCATTGCACATGGGAAATTGTGCTTTGGAATGTAAGAAGTGATAAAAAGAGTAAATAAATAAATAAATGAAAGTATAGTATAGTTGATGAATACATTTAGGAAAATGGTTTAGATTTGAATAAACTTTCTAAAATGTACAGAATTACGTATGAACTTTCAAGTTGTGAACTTTCAACAAACAAACAAACCTGTTTGCAACTCCAACCTAGAAGGTTCTGGAAGTCGGGAAAAGGCAGAAAAGGGTTAGTTTATGGTGTGCTGCACACTATGCTTGGCAGCAATATCAACCAAGCCTCCAATTTCCATAGATTGGGTGGATAAGAAAAAAATACATTGAGCCACGCATGAGCCTGGGACCACTGAGAAAGGCAGTTCATACCCATCTCTCCCTAAACATCCTTAGAAAGATTTGCAGTAGGGAAATGAGGCAGCGCAAGAATGGCTGATAGGACCAGCATGCACCTCATCCCTCTGCCTGTTGGGGCAGTGGTAGCAGTGATGCCTGGTTGCCTTGCCAGTGGCCCTTCTCCAATGAGGGTCACAATGGCCCATGGGACAACTGGCCTGGCTTGGGAGTAAGGGGCAAGAGGAAGCCAAGGCAGTCACTACTGTTCATAGGGCATAGGGGTTAGGGCACATTTTTTTATGCTTCTTGGACTTGCAAACAGATTTATAAACAAAATATTGGAATGTAACCCATTCATAAGAACAGCACTGAACATATGTTTCCATTGGTGCTCTCCAGTCTAGACCAGGGCTTTTCAACCGGTGGTACGCATACCACTTGTGGTACATTAACAAGTGGCAGGTGGTACGCAACTCTATCTAGCCAAGTGTAGAGGGGGAGGGAAAGAGCCAGCACAGGCAAGGACTTACTGTGAGAGAGTCCTCTGGAGTTGCAGAGTGGCTGAGGCGAGGCAAAGGCCCCAGGGTCACTTCTGGCTCACCCTCCCCCATGAGAAAGGAGGAGAAGGAGGAGGAGGGGGGCAGAGACAGGAGAGGCTATAAAAGGAGGCAGTTTGGGCAGGAGAGGAAGAGAGAGAAAAAGCAGCAGCCTTGGGAGGAGGCGGAGTCAGCTCTAGCTGCACCGAACGGAAAGATGAAGGAGGAGGAGGAGGAGGGTGGGAGGAGAGGAGAGGAGATCAAGCCGACCGGCCATAAGCTGATCTACAACTGCTGTGGCAGCCACCTGTGCTGGCAGCAGCAAACAAGCAAGAAATGCAGTGAGGAAGGGGTCGCCCTCCAAGAGGAATGAAAAAAGGCAGCAATGGCTGGAGGTGAGGCACGAGGGAGATGGAGAGTGGAAGGATTCTTATGTGCTTTTGTGACTTTGAAGTTCTAGGATTTGTGCAATGTGGGCTTTGTGTTCTTAAGGAGTGTTTGGCAATTTCTATTTGGCTGATGTCTGGTGTTAGCTTCTATTGCTCTGCTATTGTTAGCTGTAAGTTTTGCTGCAAGGGATTTTGAACTATTTTTCTCCTGAATGGATTTTGCCCGTAGCATTCCTTTACTTATGAATGGAGCCATTTAGGGAGGCTGCCTTAGCCGGCAGCCAAAACTAACTACATTTTTTTTCTTCCTTAAGTGCTGGCTGCACTCAACTTTCCTTTCTAGCCAGTAGCTAATTCTTAAAGGGGAATATGCCTTGTTAAGCTAGTTCACTCAGCAATTTGTCTTTTCTGTCTCTGGAAGCTTTTCCTTGTTTGATGAATATATGGAAGAGAGAAAATATGGGGGAGGTTCAAATTCTTCCTTCAGAAGGAGGTGGGCATGAGAAAGAGGAAGGCAGGGAAAGAGGGAAGTCCCGCCTTAGCACTTGGCCACCAGCAGCCCTGCCATTGACTTTGCTTGTCAAAAGGTTGCAAAAGGAGATCACATGACCCTGGGATACTGTGACCATCATAAATATGAATCTGTTGCCAAGCATCCAAATATAAATCACATGACCCTGGGCATGCTACAATGGTCATACGTGTGAAAAATGGTCATAAGTCATTTCAGTGCAATTGCAACTTTAAACAGGTTTTGTTTTTTTGGTCAAGTTTTTGACACCTTGCTAGGTGGTACTCAAATATTGCCATATCCTAAAAGTGGTACAATCGGTGAAAAGGTTGAAAAGCCCTGGTCTAGACTACTCTGAGTGTGAAAGTAGACACTCATAGGATGGTGGTAGTTGCATGTTATGCTCCAGTAATAATGTTAATGGGAGAGCCATAGATGAATTTTGAGAATAAACTGTGAACATTCTGAATGAATGGAATCTAAAATATTAGGTGACATGAAAAGCTAGATGCAAGCATGACTAAACATACAGAAAAAAATGAGTGGGCCATTTAAAAATCCAGTAATGAATTAAAGCAGTATTTGTTGACTCTCTGCTTAGGAAAAGGTCTGTTCTGAATATGTGTTTTCAGTCTATGATTATCCATATGTGCACATGGAAAAGGACAGAATAGTTAATTAAAAGAGGTAAAGAAAATGCAACACATTTCAATAACTGTTGTATGTTATTCAAAAGGGTACAAGAGATTACAGTGAGCAAAAAAAAGCCCCATAAGGAATACTTGGTGGTGACTTTAGAAGTGTGTTTAAAGGATGCAAATGTCCTTGTATTTTTTATTGTAGATTATGTCATGTTCAAGAATTTAAACTATTTATAACAAATATTAAGTAGATTGATGTAACTGGGAATATGGATTACAAATTATTATATATTGGTCAAGATAACTTTGTTTGACAGAGAAAATGGGCTGAATAAATGACAAGAAAAAATAGAGCAAGTAAATGAATTGTGGCACCTTGATAGAATGTTTACTGAACTTGAAAAAAATGGAGAAATATAAGATATGAAAATGTTTTTTTAAAATGAAACATCAAACAAATCTACTCAGAGTTTTTACTTGGATCATAAATGACTAGCTCAAATTACTTTGGACACATTATGTGAAGACACAGCTCTTTTAAGAAGACCCTAATTCTGGGAAACATGGAAGGAAAGGAAAAAAAAACCTGACCTGGAGTAACCTCATCATCACAAGACCCATCACAAGCCTCTTCTGATAACTCAGCACAAGCCCCTCACTTGACACAACCACACCTGAAGCCCTTATAAATAGAAAAGCACTGACATAGACATCCCCTAAACGCCGTTGAAGATGTTACCTAGCCTGGTAACAAAATGTTTGGAAACCAGCCCATAAGCTCGGAGAAGGAACCTTCACCCTCAAAATAGCATGCCTCTAGCCAATTTGTTGTATCGAAGTAAGAATTGGGTTTGTCAGGAGAAAGATAAATACAAGTTTAATGTATAATTCTGAATTCTTAAGTCAATGAGGTAAATCAAGAATGAACAGAGTAAAATGAATGGGTTCCTTTAGTTTGATCACTGTGTGTCATAAAGAGAATGAACAAGGATCATATTACAGAACAAGTGTCTGAAGGAAGAATCAATGCATTAAGAGGAAGGGAGATCTGAGAAAGTAGTGGTTAGTGGAATGAACAAAATTCTGAAAAATAGGCAGGTGAAAAGTTTAAAAGCTGAAAAGGAACACATGAATTGGTGTAAGGACATGCTAGAAGCAAGGATAGTTTGCAAGAGTAGAAGGGTATAAGTATAGTGAATTGTATTGTCATAGATTATATTTCTTTTCCCTTTCTCTTATTTTATGTCTTTAATTTCTTTTTTTATTATTTCTTATTCCTTTTCTGTACTTGGTATAATGTTGCTTACCTCAGAAGGAAACACCATAATGGTAATGTACTATGGCCTATATACTATATTATACACTATAACTATGTGTATACTGTATGTTTGCCATGAGTTGTAATAATCATGTGTCTTTAGAATGTACAGAAGTCAAAAGAATAATTTTGACTCTAACATTTAAAAAAAATTAAGTTATGTTCAAAATTTTGTACATTTTCTGCAGCATTACTCTCACCCATGTAATAAGCTATTGATTAGTTACCCACCCAGCCAACTGGCATCAAGGCTGGGCATGAAAGGACAACGGATGCAATTATAGGGTTTTAGACATAAACTAAAAAGAGCTTCATAATTCCACCACTGTGCTCAGAATTGGTCAGGGAATATAGAAATAATTGGTCTGCCCCAAACAAGAAAAAGATAAATTTTAGGGAGCTTAAAAATAAATCCTCCAAAAACAAGCCAGTATTATTTATCATAATTTAAGGCCATCTCCTTCACTTGTAAAAGATAAAAGCAGTAACATGCAGGGATTTGCTTAGTTTGCCCATAGAATTGTCCATAGAATTGTTCAGTGCAAGAAAGGTACATAGGAGGAAAGCTCTGTCTGAACATTAATTTTCACTTGCAGCTTCCTTCCCTAAAGAATCATTTCCTAAAACATTTCTTTGTTTCTGTAGGGAATAAAGCTGTAATAGCACTCGTAGAAAAAGTTCAGGGGAATTTATCTTACAGAAAATAAGCTGAACTTAATGCTAATTTATAAATTAAGTTTACCGAGATTTGCAAATTAGTTTCCCCAAAGATACTGTTTCTTTTATAAAGCAGTCGCATAGAAAATTATTTAAAATTAGTTAAATTATTTTACCCT